ACTGACTGTTACAGGTTTCTAGGACAGACCGTGACAGACCCTAGAAACACATATTGAAAATGAAGTTCCCTCATCCTTTGAAACCTTGGTTCCCATGACAATACACAACAAAATACTGTGGAATGACTCCCTCCTTCCTGCCATACACTTCCTCTATACAATCTTCAATTTGGCCTCGGTCAGCTCCTGGACACTCGATCTGACCCATCGTCGGGTGCCGGATGGTCTCTCGTCCGACTTAGCCTGACGGTCTCTCCGTTTGAGGGTGAAGGGCAGATTGAATGGTCTCTCCGAGTCACCCGGCTCCCCAAGAGAGGTTCGACCGTAGATCAGACCCTGCAGTACCGTAAATGGGGACAGTCTGTAGGGTTCTTCAACCTCTGCTGGTGTTTTTCATGGGGAAGCTCGATACCCGAGCCTTTGCTTGCCTTCGCTCGCTCCCCTTCGCAAAGCCGCTGCCGGCGGTCTTGAATCCCATTGATCGTGAGTGGGTGTTCGGGCACCTCCTTCTTGGCGTGGTTCTTGACGGTCGTGGGTGTAGGAGCTGGAGGAAGACATCGAGCAGAAGCAAATCATGGCAGCTTCATTGGTTCCACCAAACTAATGTCATTCATCCTGTCGCACACACCGTGTGTGAACAACGATCCCTGGGGATCTTGTTTTCACCGCCCGAAGGTGGCGCCTTTTCCGAAAAACCAGCCGGCTCCATTTGGCCGTGTATTAAATAGGGAGACCTCCCAGTTCCACCCCGTGGAAGAAGGGACATCGACTAGAGCCCAGCCCATCTATAACACTGCTAATCCATTGACCATCATTTGCCCTGCCCACGTGTTCCCAGGTGTTCTTCCAGCCCTCGTCAACCTGGATAGCCCAGTCCTCTTCAGGCTCCCCCTCCAGGTATTGGAGGGAGAGCCCGTTGGCTCAGTGTCGTTCGCCATTGGGATTGGCCTAGGATTGGCCAAATTGATTTTTTCGAGGGTTTGGGTCATATAGCAACAGGTGACAGGTGCTTTTCTTCAGGCGTGAAGTCAATGTAGAACATGTACAGTAGATGCACCTCTTCATATCTTCCAAGACATTCCACAACAAATGCACTCGGCACTCGGTAGTTGGTGTATGTCATAGATGGCAAATTATGGCGACAAACGCATGTTTCATGTGCACTCGACTTGAATCATCGATGGTATGGGTGGTTTGGGTGTGTGACCAGTAGGGTGGCAGTGACGGTTGGTCACTCTCCCGGTTAGATCGAATACCTATAGATGTTGCACTATGTTCCACGATGTGTTTCACCAGGGATGTCGAAGCCACTAGTGCACCGATGTCGATTTGGGGCAATGCTTCTGCTTCATGTGAAGTCGGCGGCGTCTACGGTGGACCGTCGTGGTCTGCGCCTCAGAGATGGCATCGTAGAAGACGTGCCCCAAATGTGAGCCGCAACCTGAACCCGAAGTGAAGCGTCGAAGCAAGGCCATGCCACCACAAAGAGAGTTGGGGGGCATCCCAGTGGGGGGAGGAAAGAAAGGAACACATTGAAAAAGAAACCCAAAACGACTCAAAACGACACCTCACCGCCCAGGTCTTGAGCTGTTGGACGGCTGGAAGATGATTCAGCAACCAAAGGGTTTGATCTGAACTGCCGAAGACTCACTTGGATCCTGAGAATGGCACCCTGAAAGACAACTTTCCTCTACAAGCCAGTGGTTTTGATGAATTTTCATGGTCCATATTAGTCTTGAGAAAATGTTTGTTGGGGTGAAGGAAACAGTTCCCCCCAGCGGATGAACATCACTGCAACAAATACTTCAACACTCCAGGAAAAAACCACCAGTCCTGGACAAAAACAACTTTGAAACACCTGTTGACTAAATCCTTGCTCAGCTCTAACTGCTCATGAAACGGGATCTTTGCTGTGACTCACGCTACACACTTCCTTTCAACAAAAACACCACCCCGTGTGTTTCCCGCGCTCCGATTCCGCCGAAACCGCTCCCGTCCGACTCGGGCCCCGTCCCGCTCCTCCCCACCGGTCCGAACGCTCCTCCTCCCCGCGTTCGGAGCCCAGAGGCGTGCACAAACGATCTCCAGGGATCCGGTGCCATCGGGCCTCGCCACGGAGCCGAGGCGGCGCGGGACGCCGCGGCGAGGGCGTCTCGAGGCGTCTCGGGGGGCGCGGGAAAGAGCGCGGTCAGACGACCGGGCTCTGGGAACGAATTCCGTGGAGCAGTTTTTGCGGGGACGGCATAGGAAGACGGGGCAAGGACATGTCTGGAAGTGCCTTAGTGCACGTTGAATAGAGGGTTTAAGCCCACATTGGTTGATGTTGGGTGAAAAAGATGCTTGACGCAACGATTTTACAACCTTTTCTGCCAAACATTTCCAAAAAAAGGTCGTGTGTGTCTCTCCAACAGGCAAGATCCAAACTACAACGATGGTTGCTAAACATAAAGATGCCCAATGGAGAATGGGGAATGTCCATTCAAAGATGATTTGGTAAAACCCGAGCAAGAGAAGGTCAACTGCATATAGTGTAGTCTATATAGCGAGCTGCGATAAAGGCCTTGGGGAAGTCTACTGTTCACATTTACTTTCTTTACTTTGCAAAACCATGAGATGTCCAGCCATTCTGCTGGGAAACCAAGCAGAATGGTTCTACACAGTTGACATGTTCTCTCCCTGACACATGACACTCCAAGCACCTCCATTGACATGTGTTCAATGTATTCTGGATTCTGGATCCTATCGGTTCCTCAAGGTTGGACGGTCAAAAACACGTCCTTCAGTTTCCTTAATGTAGACTCTTGATTACAATAATAGAATCCCCCCATGCATATGAAGAGGCTTTACAATCCATACTTGCTCCAAGGTTCTCTTGCTCCCCCCCCCCTCTCCACGGCCCTCTACAGTAGGGGCCCAAGACTGGCCCAGCACGTGCTGCCCCAGATCTTTCGAAGAGTAGCCTCGTGGCCCCGAAATCATGAATCTGAACATGGGGAGAGTCACATGGGCAGGTGTTCAGGAATGCTC